AAAAAAACATGCGCGTGCACACACACACACACACACACATCAACTCTTGATAGTTTGGGGGCCATTGTGCCTGTGTTGCTATTAGCATCATTTAATTTTTATTTACTTAAATGTTTAATTTCCCAATTAAAGTATTTGGAATACATTGATCACAAACATTTTCTGTTAATCATTCTCATATGATTTTATTCTATTTTTATTTATTTTATTTTTTTTTGGCCTTTGGGGCAAATATAAAAATCCTTACTGGGCACACTGAAAATTGTCTCCTCGGTGTTACTCCCAAACTGTAGAACATACATGTTTTTAGAAAAGTTGTCAAGAAGTAACATATTTTTCGGAGTATAAGACACACCAGAGTATAAGACGCACCTACCTTTTTTGGTGAGGAAAAGAAGAAAAAGAAATCTGCCTCTTCCTCTAAGCAATTTTGCCTCGTTACAGCAAACAGCCTGCTTTACTTTCATTTTCGTTTTCAGCATAGCTTGATTAGCACAAGAAAAAAAAATCTGCTCCAGCAATTTACCTCTTTGCAGCAAGCAGCAGAGCCCTGAGCAAAATATCTGAGAGCAAATCAGCTGAGAGTCGGGAGGCTGATCCAATCAACTTGTGCTAATTAGGCTGTGCTGAAGCTGAAAGGAGCTGTTTTTTTCTTGCTGTTTGCTTGCAAGGAGGTAACTGCTGTGAGGCAGAGGCCAAAGGGTGGGGGTCAGTGGGTGGGCGGGGCTACATTTGGTGTATAAGACGCACCTAAATTTTCACCCCCTTTTAGAGGGGAAAAAGGTGCGTTTTATACTCTGAAAAATACGGTAGCTTGTTTTGGTTTGAATGCTGCTTTTGACTAAAACAGATTGCAGCACAGGACTATCTTGCTGGGCTCAGAAGCTAAGCTGGGTCAGGATGGAAGACCAGGCTATAGAAAGCCGTGGCAGACTACAAGAAAGCTATCCAGCAAATTGCTAAAAGTCATGTTTTATGTGAAAGAATTTTTTCCCTGATAGTGCTTTTATTAACAGAAGTCCAAGCTTTGATGTTTTTCTTGTTACCATTTTACTTTTGGATTCCTGCATACCATACCACATACCTTAAGTGGTTTTTCAGGAAGGGGATAGAAAAGGAACCCCCATAGCCTTTCCACAGAAGCTTTGCTTTCTGTATTCTAGAGCAATTAAAAGGGTGCATTGTTTGAGGAATCCATTTGCAGGTCAAAACAAAGATGCATTATGCTTGAAGAGCTTCTGTGGCTTACTTGGTTAAATTTGTAATCTTAGCATTACGTTACTAGCCCAAATAGCAAGCACTAATCTTTATAGAAAAAGTTACGTTCAAATGTAGTTTTACAATCTCACCAGTAAAGAAATAGGGAGGGGGGAAATGGTGTTTGCATAATCCTAAAGATATATAAATGGCCACGACAGTTTATTCTGTCAGCTGTTCTGAATTAATCTTATAATTGGCTACTGTGACATAAAAACAAAACGTTCTGAAAAAAGATAGTTTTATATAAACTTAGAACGTTCAGCTAGTTTCCTCTTGCTACCATCCTTTCTGAAATGTGCACCTGTCTACATATACATAAAATGGAAAATATTTGTGGTTTCTGGCTTCTTTTTAATGGAAAAAAGTGATAATTACAATATGAACTTTTTCAAAAATTGTAGTAGGATGTTTAGTCTGCATAGACTGTTCTTGTCAAGTTAGTTGCGGTTAGCATGTAGTGGTGAAGGCATTTGTTTCAAACTTCAGGCAAACTACAGCGTCACATGATTTAGATGATGTTGCTAGAGTAGAGGCTGTTCCTAGAGCTATAAGTGTCAAGTTTGGGTTTGGTCTCTTGGTTACAGAGAAAGAGGGGGGTTACCGAGCATATTTTTTCCAATGTACTATTCGAATATAGTCACAGATTTCCTCCACCCAGTCTTTTCCTATATAATCAGATATAAACTGACATAAATGATTGTGTGGGCTGTTTAATTGTTAATTATCAAGTCATATGTTTTAACTGATCACGAATTCTTCCTTGTGGGTCTAGTATAAAATAATGAATTTAACAAATGAAAGTAAGTGACTGGGCCATTTGGGCCCCCAAGACTGAATGAATGGTGAATGTGAGAAACCATTTTATCAATTTAGGGGAAAAAAAAACATGATAAAATGAATAGGCCTGAATTATAGAATTTTCCAGTAATGTGGAGTTAAAGTTTGGTTGCTGAATGTGATGAGATTGGTATATTTTGGAAGGCCTTGCACACAGCCAGTAGCTGCTTTGCAGAGGGCCAGGCTGGGCATTGCCTCATCAGTAGCGGGAAGAAGAAGACACAAAGGTTAGCTGGAGGCAGTGGAGTTCAGGGTGGCTAGAAGGGCAGAGACGGAAAGAGACAAATGGCGGGGTGGAATTGAAGCAGAAGCAAGAGGGAGAAGCATGAGGTCCTCATTTAACCTTGGCACAGTGCTGACCTAACAACTTCTACCAGGACTACCAAAACTGCTGTCTCTTAAGTGATGCAGTTCTATGAAGTTTTGCCTAATGAAAGTATCACTTAGCAATGGAAATTATAGTTCCAGTTAAGGTCATTAAATGAGGATGACTATCCAGGATGGTCCTACTGGTGGTGTTCCCCTCCCACATCAAGAAGTTGTCACTGAATTTTCTACTGGTCTTCAACCTTCTCTTTTGGGAACGGTATAGAAAAGACGGTGGGGCTCCTGCGGCCTCTGGAGAAAGCAGATTACAGTATGTGAATCTTTCAGCTGGGTTGCAAACCTGCATATAGGATGGGGATAACATAAATCATACGTGTGTGTGTGCATGCATGCACATTCCATATTGCAGTGATTCTTTCTCTCGTCAGTTCCTGTGGTCTTAATAAGGGGGAGAGATGATTTTAAAAAAAGAGAAAGTGGATGGAGAAACTTACAGTACATGGAATGCAGATATAAAGAAAATGCTTAGCACATGGTCTGTTGTGAGGATCTAAATTTTGTGGAAACATGAGAAAATGTTTGTGTATAAGAACATACATTATGCTCAATTGCTGAAGCTGTCAGGCTTCATACCACAGGAAGAAATGAACCATTCTTAGACAAGTTCATAAAAAAATATTTAAGAACCTAAGTAATGTTTACTGAAGAAAGTTAGAACCCCTACCAAGGAATTTCACCAATTACCTTGAATCAAGAACTTCGATTCAATACCTCCCAAGAGCATACATATACATGTTCAAATATATATGTATGTTCTTATTGTTGTTTCATTTTTTTCTTCCCACCCAATCTAATAGATTGTTTGTTTTTGAGCAGGCTGGATTGTTCTCTTCTCTCCTTTTTCTAACAGTAGCTTGATTTGTGCTGATCTTGTTTTTCAATAACTCTGTGAGATTTAACTCTCACAGTACATTAGCCTTGCCCTACTCACCCCACATGACACTAAAGTCTACAAGTATCAAAAGTGTTTTTGTTGCCTTCCCCCCACCCCAAATGTTTGAGGAAACGAAGGGCCAATATTATACTTCCAGTTTTTGAGGACCACAGAAGTCTATGAAGATAACTCATGAAGCGTCACAACTGTAATTTGGAGAGTGGTTGAGAATGGGAATGGGAGCTAGAGGCTTCCATTCTCAGCCTATAGAATAAGATGATGTAATAGAGAATGGCACTGCTGAAAATTTGACATTTTGCTGCCAGATGTTGACTGTGTGATCTAAAGTTTCTATGGGGCCCTGTGAATCATAAATTGGCCACCATTTTTTAAAGGGAGATATAATTCTTTGATCAAATGCATGTTTTGGAGCCCAAGATAATAACACGGGGTTCTAATTTTCAAGCAGCCAAAGCTAGAAATCCCTTTTGAACCAGCAGCCAAATTGCTCTGCTTTAAATGATCTTCTCAGCCAGGTGAAAAGAAGCAAAGCTCCAAGAGCTGTTTTATGCTGGCCAAGACTAAGGCAGGATTCATTTGTCCTGGCAAATTTGGTCAGGGACTAGTACTTAATGCTGTAAGACAAACATTCACCCGTACCTTCACTGAATGGAGTTGGAATCATGCCTTACTATTTCTTGAATAGATGGTTCCTGTCAAATCAGGAACAGTATTTCAGGAGCTGCTTTTTGTTAGATCAGTGCCCTTGCCCAATTAATGTTTGAGATTGGCATGCTTAGTATTGGATTGACCCACACAGAGCAATTCAAAATGCAATCACCTGCTTGCAGTGTGTGTGCACACAGCCATTGAAACTCCGAAATGTTAATATTTGCATATTTGTTAATACTTGCAATATTTGCAAGTCCTAGTAGAGATTCCTTGAATTTTGTTCTAAAGGCTTGTAATCAAATAAGATTATCATCAATTCTGTAGGAAAACCATGATGTACTAAAACCTCTTTGTATAACATAAATTAAGAGTCTATATCACAGATTATTCTAATTATAAATAAAGATATGGTTTTTTATAATATATAATTGGGTTCATTTTTGGTGCCATGTTTCCCCGAAAATAGGACCCGGTCTTATTTTCTTATGGGCCCAAATTAAGCACTAGATCTTATTTTCGGGGGATGTCTTACCCGCTTACTTTAGGACCACTGCAGCCAGTCCTCCCACGGCCCAACACCTGTTAACGCTGCTGCCCGACTTTTTCTGCAGCTGCTTGCAGCCAGATGCAATGTGGCTTGTTGCGCCGGTGCAGAAAAATGCAGTCAGAAAAAAATAATGAAAATGTTTCCTTTGATCATGTTTAAAGCAGCTCTCTGGTTCCCAGCTAGGCATATATTTCAGGTTAACATGCAGGGGTCCAAAAGATCTTATTTGGGGTGGGGGGGCACCTTCAGTTCTTTATATTGAATCATAGCATTCTGTGGAGCATTTTGTGTGCAATACATGGCATTTATCTGCAGTTCTGAATTTAAAGTTTCACAGTTTCAAAAGTTTTACACATTTCACAGTGTTTGTTTCACAAAGATTGACAATTCTTCTCTCTCCCTCTCTCTCTCTCTCTTTGATAGAACAAGGCTTAGATCACATAGCAGAAAACATCCTCTCCTACCTAGATGCCAGATCCCTTTGTGCAGCTGAATTGGTTTGTAAGGAATGGCAGCGGGTTATTTCAGAAGGAATGCTTTGGAAGAAGCTTATTGAGAGAATGGTACGAACTGATCCACTCTGGAAGGGGCTCTCAGAAAGGAGGTGCTGGTATGTATCTGTGCAAAAGGAATAAACATCCTTCCTCCTTTGGAATGGAAATACTTCCCTTAATGTACTGAGCACATCTGGCCTGATTGGGCAGTAATGATGGTAAATGTAGAAGAAAATGCAGTGCATTTCTTAGTTAAGAGTTATTTACTCCAGTTCTTTCTCTATCTTTCTGCTTCTTGACTTGGCTCTAATTGTCCTCTTTGAAAGTATATTTCATTGAGGTCACCTAATAAAGTCAATGCAGGGAAGCCTTTGTATTTTGTAGGGAACAAACCTATTGGTGTTTAATTACAGAAAGAACATTCATAGCCTTCCTCACTATTCTGTGTGATAAAGACATGGAAACTAGTGTCTAAACCTCAGGAAGAGAAGAATACATCTCTGGTTGCATTCAGCTACCCAAGCCAATTTCTTTCTAGGGCAGTAATAGTTTTTTTTTTTTTACAGGTATAGGAATAGAATCAAAAGTAGAACTTTTAATTCTATGTGTGGATTTAACTAAAAGAATAATATGGATCATTGAATTCTCACTTTGGCTCTTTCGATGTTGCTTTTTATAAAATAAGAACAAAAAGCACAAAATAAGGTATGAATGTGGTAGGTTCATCGGATGACAGTCAGTGTGTTTAAATTTTCAAGCAGCATAACAGAATTAGTTAAGTTAGTGCTATTCAAAATTTGGAGATGGCTTTACAACGTCAGTATGTTGCTGATATCCATAGAGTCATTTCAAACATTTTTATTTCTGTATGAAAAATTTACATCTCTCTTCTTACTGTTTTACAGGGATCAGTACCTGTTTAAAAACAGACCCACAGATGGCCCTCCTAATTCATTTTATAGGTCACTGTATCCAAAGATAATACAAGATATAGAGGTATGTTTTTTCAAATATTACTTTGTTTAAAATGTACTTGATGTTGTAAAAGGCAAGAGGAAAAAAATAGAAACCCACTGTTTCTGGAAGTTACAATTTACTTTAAAGGATTTTTGAAAATTAAAATGTAGATTCCCTGAAGACAAAGTGAGATATGCAAATAATGAGACATAAAGTGCATTCAGAAAGTATTCAGACCCCCTTCACTTTGGTCAATTTTATTATGCTACAGCCTGATTCTTCAGTTGTTGAAATTCTTTTTTTTTTCTTATTAATCTACACTCAGTACTGCATAATGACAAAGTGAAAACAGAACCTTAAAATGTCTGTAAATTTATTTTTTAAAAAAACTGAAATATGACATTGGCATGAATTCCAACAACTGTAGAATCGGGCTGCGCTATAACAAAATTGACTAAAGTGAAGGAGTCTGAATACTTTCTAAATGCACCATAGGTGTCTACCAGATCTTTCCTTGTCGGTTTGTTTGATCACTCTCTTTCCCCCACCCCCACTCCTCCCCACCCCACCTCCCCACACACAATACTGTCATAAACATTTTGGGAAACTAACAACAAATAAGAATACACCATAGAACTAAAGAAATAGAAAAATAATTCACATATTAAGATCCCAGAGACCTGAATGCATCCTTTAGGGCTATTTCCCTGCAGTAAAGCAGAACAGTTGTCCAACAGTCTCTAAACCTGCAGTAAAAACATGTCAAGCCTCCTGAAATATTTGTTCCAAATAGTTACAAATTTGTCTAATAAATAATAAATATAATACCAGATAATGATATATCCAGCCTGCTCAATCCTAGTTGTATGTGGAACTTTAGAAGTGTCTCCCAAGAGTTCTGATAAAACTCAGGAAGTGACCCACTACATTGTTTGTGTTCGTAATTAGACTTGTATGCTGCCCATCTCGCCTAGAGGTGATTGTTACCTGTTTTGGTGATCTTGGTAGCTAGACTGCCCTTTTTGTCTTGTTCACTTATTAGGAATAACTCCCAATTTCAAGCTGACTCAACTTCTCCATTCGTCAGGGACAGATTTCCATCCACACCTTAACCTCCATCACCTTTAGAACTTGAAGGCTTCAGTTCTCTGATATCTCCAGGTCAAGTCAAAACAGGTCTTTTTAGGATACCATAGTTCCTCTCTTTCAAAATCAAAGCTTGATTGAATTAAAACATCATACATTCTAACTTTTTTCCTAACCTGCTGTCAGGACCAAGAAACCAAGAGCAGTTACTTCTGAGTAGTTGCTTTGTTGCCTATAGACAGAAATCTTGCCAGACTAAAGCGCTTACCTGTATAACTACTAGATATACCCTGCAAAGTGTTAGAAGGAATCCACCTTCCCTCTTTTACTGCTTACGAAAGCATCAACACAGATGTAACAGAGTAATGGTAGTTATCCTTTGAATTAGGAAAATAGTGATAGCTATGTAAGAGGCAAGGAGTGCCTGAAATAGCCAGTGCTCTTGATTGCCAACCTGGATTCTGTAATGGGCCATGTTACACTGTATGTGTTGTATCATCAAATACAGTATTTGATTTGGGTATAGATGAATCCTGATAGCAAATAGAACCCTGTACTGCTGGTCATCCATGTATCTATCCACTGGACTATTATTTAATTCTTTCAGATGTTTTCCTCTTTGTATTTTCATATATATTTATTCCTGCCAATTTCTTTGCAGCTATAATGTTTCTGTGGATTGTGGCTATATTCCCAGTATATTGGCAACTGTCACAGTGAAAAGGATTTTAGAAATTCTCAAAAATATGAAACTTTTTCCCATAGCAGCAGTACCACATTGCTGTTTGTCTGAAATCACATATACCCAGAGAATGGAATGGTGCACCTGCCTAGACTTTATTCTTAGCTCTTTGGTTTAGGGAGGAATAACACATTCCTGTTGCTTTGATGTTCAAGCCACACATGGAAAGCAAATTCTCTCTAAACATTTTGATAGAATTGATTTGACTAGGATTAATGAACAGCCTCTTACATGCTGCATGTCAAGAATTAGTGACCTTCCAAAATATTTGGATCACTTCAGCTATTGCCCACATGACAAATGTGATGAACTGTAAACAGAAATTTTAATTAGTTTAAAAATTAATTAATTGGGACCTTACAGCTTAATCATGAAAGACCCATCTAATGTACCATATTTTTTGGAGTATAAGACGCTCCAGACTATAAGATGCACCTACCTTTTTTGGTGAGGAAAACAAGAAAAAGAAATCTGCCTCTGCCTTCCAGCAATTTTGCCTCATTGGAGCAAACAGCAAATAGCCTACTTTACTTTCATTTTCGTTTTCAGCATAGCTTGATTAGCACAAGAAAAAAAATTCTGCTCCCAGCAATTTACCTCCTTGCAGCAAGCAGCAGAGGCCTGCGCAGCAATAGGCAATGGCAATCCCTGCAGCCTGAAACAGCTGAGAGTCGGGAGACTGGTCCAACAGACAATCAACTTGTGCTAATTAGGCTGTGCTGACGCTGAAATGGGCTGTTTCTTCTTGCTGCTTGCTGCAAGGAGGTAAATTACTGGGAGGCAGAGACCAAAGGGTGGGGGCCAGTGGGTGGGCAGGGCTACATTCGGTGTATAAGACACACCTAAATTTTTACCCCCTTTTAGGGGGGAAAAGGTGCATCTTATACTCCAAAAAATACGGTATATGACACTAATAGAGATTTAATCAGTTTAAATTTTGGGATGAGAGGAAGCAAATTAAATGAGGGTTCCCACATTCAGGATTTTTTACTTAAGAGTATAACACATATAATACTTCACACTGTGAAAGTTCTATTTAATTCTGTGTTCACATCCTATACATTAAGAAAGAAATACACTAAGCTAGTAGGGCAAACAGTCAGGTATGATAATAATTGAAATTCCAAAAACAGCTAGCAAACTACATATTTCTCAGCTCTGCCTTACAGATTTATGTATGCTTAATATGCAGTTGTGAGCAATAATTATAAATGAGGAAAATAGTGAACGTAGTCACTATTTGTAGTCACTGTCATTATTTGAAATGACAAATTTCAAATTTGTCACAGTAATAAATGAGGTGTCCGTCACAGGGGGAAAAACAGTTTATATTTCAAAGCCAAGTCAGATTGTCATGTTCTGTTAACCATTTTAATCAGAGCAGCCATGATCAGGCAAAAACAAAATCTAGATAACTCGGTTGTGCTGAGTTTCAGATGAACTGTTCAGAGGAGTAGAGCAAGACTCATATGCCTCCCTTACTTTCTCCCTGGAGCAGCTTCCAGGTCAGCATAACCCACCAGCCCTTGCTCTCAGTTTTTCCAGCACCTGCCTTCTCTCCCTTCACTGATGTTGCGGCACAACATGGTTGCTAACCACCTGCCCCATCCCCAGTATCTTATTTCCTTTATCACCCTTAGTCACCTATGGTCTTGGTTTTTCTCTGTAGTCCCAAGATAATTCAGCCTGACTCAAAACTGCTTCATTTTGTTCCATGAATGGAGTTAAACCATGGGCCATCCAAAATCATCTGTTCTGTGCAGAGAAAATTTTGTATAGCTTTATTATTAATTGTATCATCGAGTATATCATTTGGTTCAAAAATGAGTGCTGGACTCTCTATAGAGAAACGCCATAGCCAAGGTTTGTTATTCCCTCTATTCTGTTTAAGTAAGTGCAAGAAATTTAACACCTCTAAACGGAATAAAATAAATGTTAACTCAAATGTTTTTAAATAAAAAATTAAATTAGAGAAAGCATATGCATATCAGCATTAAAAACCTGGTAATAAGCATCTATGCCCTTCTGAATAGTTCTGTTTTTTAAGACCTTGTCTAAAATTTGAAAGTGAAGGCACAGCCAGCTCTTTTGTGGGGTTCCTAAGGTTGAAGTCTGTCACTATGAATTGTGCCTCTTTCATACAACAGGAACTGCAACTTGTGTGCTTGGGACAAAGTGCATTAGAAGAGTATGGCCCTTTGAAAATAGATAAGTCCTGCAGGTGCCAAGCACTGTAAGGCTTCATAGGATGATGGTACTTTGAATTGTACCAGAAAACCTACAGATGCAAAGGTTATCTCTGAGTAGTGGGTCCCACATATTAATGTGTGTGCTGTTCTATGTTGTTCCAAAAGCAGCTTCAGAAGGAGCCACTTCAGAGGATTCTAACAAGAAGGAGGCAAGAATGAATCCAAGTAGCTGGCAAAGGCTTGCTTAAAATACCATTGTGATGAAATTTCAGTGGCATCTGGTAGGATTCTGTATCACCCAAACATTTTCTGCTCTCTTGCAGACAATAGAATCTAACTGGCGATGTGGAAGGCACAACTTGCAAAGAATTCAGTGCCGCTCTGAGAATAGTAAAGGTGTTTACTGTCTACAATATGACGATGAGAAGATTATAAGCGGCCTAAGGGATAACTCCATTAAGGTAAAGGGATTTCTTGATGTTAGCAGGGACAAGAGAGGTAGATCATTTTTCATCATTTTATCTAGCCTGCTATCCTATTGCAGAATCTACCTGTATCCTTCCAAAAATATATGAAACAGAGGACTAATAATTAAAAAAATTGAAATATTAAGCATCCACACACACACACCCAACTGGGAGGGGTTTAAATTAGTGGAGACATTGCAATAGAGGGAGATGTGTTATTTCTATTTAAACATCTTTTTATAAGCCTATAAATTCAGGATAGTTAAATGCCAGACTGTGGCACAGAGGCATCTAATTGAATGTTTTTAAATCTTTGCTCAGGTTTTTTTTTTATGCCCTTCCAAAATTGCACAGATGGGTGGGGTGGGGGGGACAGAAATGTCTGTGTCCTGCCCTGGAAGAATAACTACAATCTTTCTCACACCAACTCAGAATTTAAATAATTCCTTTATGGTTTTTGTTTGTTTGTTTGTTTGTTTTTTTGTTATATGGTAGATATGGGATAAAACCGGATTGGAATGTTTGAAAGTATTAACAGGACATACTGGCTCCGTTCTTTGTCTACAGTATGATGAAAGAGTAATTGTAACTGGATCGTCTGATTCTACTGTCAGGTGAGCATTTTATAGTCAAAAATATGGCAGAAAGAGGAATGGAGTAAAGAAAATGGAGGACTGCCTTTCCATATTTAAGAAACACTTTAATATTTTATTTCAATTAATTTGGCTTCCTTCATTACTGTTGTAGGCACAAATGGATCTATCCTGCCCTGTGCAAAACTGACTTGTGCCAGAGTCAATCATAAAAACAAAATTATATAAAGAATGGCTTTTCTGTTAAAACTGTTTCATTGACTATCTGGGCATGAAAATGGAAGTAACGTTGATGTACAAGAAGTTTGTTTCCAATGCCAGTGGCATCTGATTTCATAGATAAATTTTGTATAATTGTGTACATCGGGGTCCCCAACCCCTGGGCCCAGACCGATACTGATTGTGGTGTGCCAGAAACCAGGCCGCCCAAACGAGCGAAGCCCTATCTGAATGCAGGCAGTGCAGATGCCACACACCCCTCCATCCCACAGAAAATCTTCTTTCCACGGAACCGGTCCCTGATATCCAAAAGGTTGGGGGCTGCTGGTGTACATCATTCAATATTTAATCAGTAGTCATAGCACTCTGAAAATAGCCTAAAAGACAAAAACTCTGCACTAACTTTCAGCTTCATAACACTTGACCCAAGTTTTCTTTCCTCAGAGTCTGGGATGTGAACACAGGCGAAGTCTTGAACACTTTAATTCATCATAATGAAGCAGTGCTTCACTTGCGGTTTAGTAATGGTTTAATGGTGACCTGTTCAAAGGACCGCTCTATTGCTGTTTGGGACATGGCTTCAGCAACTGACATCACTTTGCGCCGAGTATTAGTTGGCCATCGGGCTGCTGTTAATGTTGTGGACTTTGATGATAAATATATTGTATCTGCTTCTGGAGATAGGACCATTAAAGTAAGTTAGCAATACTTTTCTAAAGCAGTGATGAATGTGTTTAGCACACGTCTAACTTCTGAAATCTCTCTAAATTAATTTCTATAGCTATTTGTTCAATTACTTTTGCTTTTAAAATATTACCTAGATTTTTAAATTCATTTTTATGGCTTTAGACTTCTATCATACTGTTTTCATAATGTCCTTGGAGGATATTTTGATTTGTATATAATATTTCCAACATATTAAATAAGATACATTTGTATTGGTTAATTTGTTTGAGGAGCATGATGGCTCATTGGTTAGGATGCTGGGGTGCAGTTGGCAGGCTCATGTTCATGACCACGGGATGGAGTGAGCTCCCATCACATCTCCAACTCCTGCCATCCCAGCAGTTTGAAAATGGGTGACTGCGAATAGATACATGGGCACCACTTTGGTGGGCAACTTAATGGGGACATGAAAGGAGTCCCCAACTGGGTGTCTCCTGGGCAACAATGATGTCACTGTTCAATCCTTTCAATCCAGAAGCACATGAGCACTACCGACACAAATGTCATCGTCATAGTAGTAGTTAATTTGTGATTATAATTTCTTTTAAAAAATAATATTGTGTTTTAGCCACAGTTCAGTTGGTTAAAGACCACTGGCAAATGAATCTTTCCAAACTATGGATGGTATATTGTTGTGCAGTCAAGATTCATTGCTTGTCTTCTCCAAATAATAATCCCTGGAAAGCTTGAAGATGAGGAGATGTCAGTGGGGTAAACTTCCGAAAGACAATAAATGCTTCACAATGTTACGCAAACATACTTCTGCTTGCACAGATTCCTATATCTTCCTCCATCACCAAATATGCTTTGAAAGTCTTCCAAACCAACAAAATATTGGTTATGGTGGTGGAGAAAATGGGTGTCATGGAGTTGGTGATGAAGAACATTAAGGTTCTGTTTCACCAGCAAAACAACATCTATGGTGCAATAAATAATTAGGTCCAACCCAGAGTTGTCATATGAATGGATTTTAATGCTGATTGATATTTGGGAAGGAAGATTTAGCAGATTGGGGGCATAGCTGTGAGGAAGAATAGAAAAAAAACCTGCTATTCAAAAATACTCCTCCTCATTTAATGCAGGATATTGTCTGATGCTGTTGTGCAATTGACACTGTTTTATGTTAATATAACAAAAATGCCCTTGTGAGTTATATATACTAAGGACATTTTTTCAGCATTGAGAATTAGATTCACAGAATGAAAATTTCATCAGGATTCATGTTAAGCTCTCCAAAAATTTTGACCCAGGGCTTTTCATCCTTAAATGACAGAAAATCCAAATTGCCTTACCCTTTATTTTCCACACAGGTCTGGAGTACAAGCACATGTGAATTTGTTCGCACTCTTAATGGGCACAAAAGGGGTATTGCCTGCCTCCAGTATAGGGATCGACTTGTTGTGAGTGGATCATCAGACAATACCATTAGGTAGGTAGTAGAATTCCTTTTATTTGGACAATGTAAGTGGGACATGTTCTGATGCACAAGAGCAGCCTTAGTTTTGTACATGCTAAATATCTGAGAGTTGGGGGGGAAAAGCCATGTGGAAAGTAGGAAAAAATAAAAGAAAAAATAGCAATATTTTTAGAGAAGTGTAGATGGTACCCAGTTCATTCTTTGTTGATAGGACTTCTGACAATAGGACAGAGAAATTCCCCCTGTCCCATGACACTCCAACATATTCCTCACGGCTATTTACCACAGATGCCTGGAGACAAATCAGGATCAGATTTGTGGGTCTGCACAGTGGGAGTGGGAAGAGATTTTGAAGAGCAGATTTATCTTTGTGTGATATTGGATTTCAGACATTTTATAGAGTTATGCCAATACTGAATTCAGATTACTCTATATACAATAAATGCCACTTATGTTACATTTCAGTGTTTCCAAAATTTCCTAATTCTTCTAAGTAGAAAAAAAAATGAAGAAAAGTCTTGAGAGAAATGGAAAAGGCCGTTCTCCAGGTTTTTTGGCGGAGTGGGGGGGAGTTAACCAACATTCCTTCATATTTTTAAGCTGAATTCCTCCAGATGCTCTTTACTCACTTCCAGGATTATTCCCGCATGCTTCCCTAGATGTCCTCCCTTATGCTATTATAAGTCCTTGGCCGTCTTATTCAAAACTCTTAGGTGATCTTATTGGTTTGTCTGCAGAGAAGGGAAACTTGGTGGAAAGGATGTGCAAAAACAATGCACTTGAAACAAGCCAATATGTTGATACTGAAGCAACTTAGTTGATTAAATACTAAAATATAGAAGTAAAAAATGTAGCTTTTCAGAATAAGTGGATGCCTACCAAATTAATCAGTTGATTCAGATATTATGCTATGTTTGAATAAGTGAAGGGATTATATTGAATTGAATTGAATTGAATTTGTCCACTGCAGGGTTTCCCCCCTCCCCCTCCAGACTTTTAGTATAAGTGGGGCTTTGTGAACGACATTTGATTAAGTGGCAGTTAGCCTTGTAGCTGTTTAGCTATAGCTGTAGCGAGTGAACTCTTCTCTACAAGAGATAAGTAAACACTTCATATATGTCCACTGTATTTTTTAAAACAAACTGTATTGTGGTTCTTTTTCCCCCCCAGACTTTGGGATATTGAATGCGGAGCGTGTTTAAGAGTGCTAGAAGGACATGAAGAATTGGTTAGATGTATACGATTTGATAACAAAAGGATTGTAAGTGGAGCCTATGATGGGTATGTATTTCAAAGCTTTTTCCTAGGCTGTTGTTTTGTTTTGTGTTTGCCACTATATCTATGTTTAAAAAAGTTGCCTTATAAAATTTTCTTTCAATTTTGTAGCAAAATCAAAGTTTGGGACCTGCAAGCTGCTCTTGATCCTCGAGCTCCAGCAAGTACGCTGTGCTTACGTACATTGGTGGTACGTAGATTTTGTTAAAACCTTTCATTTATAGTTATATAACAATTGTGTGTATTTATGTACTGGATGTTTTGTTATAAAAGTACTAGATATAAGTGGAAATTCTGAGCCTTTTCTTTTGAAACCGCTGTGGTGAGAGCCTGAGAATTGTACACTGGGGGGAGGGGGATCTGGGAGGGAGGATATCCCAATATTCATGCCTATGAACTTAATGTCCTAAAATGTTATTGTTATGGAATGTTACTCCAGGCATTCTATCTTCCAAATCGTATCCTTTTCTTAAGGAAAAGTACTTTTATGTCATCTGCTCTTTATATACACTTTTTCTATGAAGTAAACTATTAAATTGCAGCAAATATGATTGCCCCCCCCAAAAAAATTAAACTTTGCGCTATTCCCAAAAGTAATGTTTAACTTGAGTATCTGCCCTATTAACTATAAACCACTGCATATTTCAGGAACATTCTGGACGTGTGTTTAGACTCCAATTTGATGAATTTCAAATTATTAGTAGTTCCCATGATGACACCATTTTGATTTGGGATTTTTTAAATGTGCCTCCCAATGCACAAAATGAGACCCGCTCTCCATCCAGAACGTACACCTACATCTCCAGATAACACTCTGCAGTTAACAGTTCTCCAAGGTAAGCATTTATCTTGTTCTTTCTTTTGCTGCAATTTCCATTTTTGATTATGGCCCTTGCACTCCCAAAGAATTGTCATTGATATTTGTGAATTCACTTCTCAAAAAAGAAAAGAAAAAAAATAGATGCAAACTGTTCTATTATTTTAAAAGCAATAATTGGCATTTTAATAATTTTAAGATATATGCATATATTTTGAAATAGGATGTTCCAGGTTTGTATCATGGTATCTATCTCAATTTACTAGCATCAAAATATCTCTGAAGGAAGGCCTTCAAGGAATGCCATTTTACATGAACAAAGTGAAGCAAATCGATACACCCCAGATATTTTAGGAGTACTATTCCTAGCAGATTAGATTAATGTGAACAGTAATCAGGCATTGTAGAAGTGGTGATCCAGTACATCCTATTAACTACTTAGACCCTAATTAATTTTGAAGGATTATAATCTTTTTTGTAGGCTAAACCAGGATGTCAAACTCTATTTCATTGAGGGCCACATCAGGGTTGTGTTTGACCTCGGGGGGCCAGGGTGGGTGTGGTCAGGGTGGGCATGGTCAGCTTGACATCACTCGTGTCAGTGGCGCCTGTGGAGACCCAAGCGCTCTGCCAGCAAAAATGGGCTCCTGAGCTCCGTTTGCGGCTGCGATGGCCTCCTGCAACCCTCTGCCAGCGAAAACAGAGCTCGAGGGGGCTACACACAGCCCTCTCAAGCTCCATTTTCACTGTGGGCCAGTCCTTTGCTGTTTCCAGGGCGGCCCCATCTTAGCACCCCGCAAGCCAGATCCAGCCCCTGGGCCTTGAGTTTTGACACCCCTGGTCCAAGGGTGAAATGCTCCCGGTTTGGACCAGATCACCCGATCCGGTAGCAATGGAGGCGGGTGGTTCAGAGAACCGGTAGCAAAAATCCCTGTCCCCCCCCATTGCCCAGCTGAGCCGCGCAATCATCAGAGGCTTTTTTATTTTTAAAAGCATTTTTTCTACAACCTCTTCAGCCGAAGAGGTTATAGAAAAAATGCTTTTAAAAGTAAAAATAAAGCCTCTGCCGATCAGGCAAGTCAGCTGCGATTGTCAGAGGCTTAAAAAAAAAGAAAAAGCTCTGCCGATCAGGCAAGGCAGCTGGGATCAGCAGAGGCTTTAAAAGCATTTTTTTAACAACCTCTTCGGGCTGAAGAGGTTGTAGAAAAATGGTTTTAAAAGTAAAAAAAAAAAAAATTGGCCATGCCCACTCAATCATATTAGCCCCCAAGCCACGCCCACAGAACCGGTAGTAACAAAATTTACATTTCACCACTGCCCTGATCTAAACATATCTAGAGTGCAAACATCCAGATGACTACTAGATGGCAGCAAAGAGTTGAAGTTTTTCACCATCTAGTGATTTATGCAGCCCAGATAGATCAGACCTAAGACAATCTAATGTTTGAATTCTTTAATCACAATTAAATTGTTCATAAAATCTTTGTTACTATTATTATTGGATATGGCAAGAGTATTGACTGGATGTAAGAATTCAAATTCTTTTAATTGAAGAGATGTTCAGAAGAGTGAATAAGTTTTGATTGTCTTATTACTCTTCCTCTGTTACAACTACTTCACTCTCTGCTATTGCCTTCATTGTCAGAAGGATGCACTGATATCATACCATTTCTCTTAAGCCAGCATTATAAACGTGTAAAATAACACATCATATAAAATGACAATAAATAGTACTAATGATCAAGGGAAAGTTTTATACACAGTGCTAGTTCCTTGTGCTTCTGCATGAATGAAGAAGATATTTAAGATGAAAACCTCTTAGCAGGCTAATAAAGAAACTAATTGCTTTGGCAGTGCTGTGGCATGATGTGGGCAGGGCTGACTTTCCTACTCCATGCTCAGAGTAGAAATTGAGCATCTTGGTAGAGAAAATAATTCTTTATTGGTATGGAACTCTTTATGTCTCCAATTACCTATTAGGCGTAACATGGCCCTGGTATGATCAAACATACATCGATGTTGATCTTATTTTTCCCAACTCTAAACAGTAACATTCTTGCTAGGCACTTTATTTTGTTTGATCCAAGTCTTTTTGTGTTGGGCCTGGCATCCTACAGCAGCTAACAAATTTCAATCAAAGTTTAAAGGAATCAAACAATCTTATTTGTTATAAGTGGACGGAATAGCAGAGTAAGCCAAATTGAATTTAAAATCATTGTCTTTAAATGGTGGCAAGTATCTCCAGTGGGTGCATCAAAGAGACCTCTAGTGCAGGTGGTCCTTCTGACTCAATTCAACTACAGAAGCTGATGACCTGTCCTTCATTGTTATTAGATCTCTAGTTCATAGTCTTTTATCTCCCTATAAGACATAATTGTTTTAACTTAATTTTAAACCAGTGATTTTCATTTTTTATTTTTTATTTTTTGTAGGATTCCACAGTCTTTGAACTACTGGACATTTGGCTATCACACATCTGAAGACAATAGCCACAGCTAAAGTTGGAAGTGGTTTTAGGTGCTGTGTAGATGTAAAGCGGCACAATTCTTTATCTCAATGTAACTTTTTCCAGTCCTCCTCCACTCGGTGGTCTCTTAAGGAATTGACTAGGAATTCACTGAGTTCGGCCTCTCCCTCACCACAGTGCAAGATCCAAAGCTTCATGAGTAATTTGCCCATATACACTGAACTTACGGCTTGTTTTTCCAGGAGTAAATCAGATGTCAAGGATGGACTTGACCTAATTTATATTTGCTTTGCACTTTTTGTCTGACTCTGAAGAAGAAAAACATTCTCAGTGAAACGTGGGTGCCAAACGCATAACCCAGAATGTACAGAGCTTGCTTTCAAAATCGCCTCATCCCGCAGCTTTTACATTTCACGATTAATGCGGATCCTGCTGTGTTTGCTCAGAGTCTCAGTTGGACTGGTAGAAATACTTTGGAATGATTCAGCAACCTTTTGGACAATAATTTACTTATTTCTGCACCTGTAATTTGCTTTAATTTAAAGATTGTAAATTGGGCTAGATTATCAAAACTAGATGTACAGCATTGTCTTTTCTTTAAATTGTACTCTATACTACAACTGTCTTTCTCTTCCTCCTAATGTTTGGTATAGTCAGATCCTTCCTGTGTGCTTGCCTCATTCTTTCCAATACTGTACCTGTATAAGCATGTAGATATAATGTACATAAAACATTGTAACCTCCAAGGGCTGGGAGTTGGGGCCTTCTGATGCTGTATACAGATGCCAAGGGAGGTGCTTTTAAGTACCCAGGCATTCTTACTACTGGCACCATATGGAGTTGAGATGTATTAGAAACATTTTTCTGTGAAAGGGAGAGCGTTGGCATTCATTAGGATTTTCTTCTTCCTTTTTAATTGGGAGGGCATATCTTAATGTTAACTTCTAAACATAAGAAGCATTTTTTATTTAAAAAAAAAAGTTAAAATTTCTTTCACTATTCCACAATGCAATATTTGCAAATCATCTTGAAACCACTGTCTAAAGTTGAAGAGACATCAACCCTTTTAATATCTGTTTGAATTGTCCGTGATTTCCAGGCCAGTATGCTGAATTGGAAGATGAATTGCTATTCCACTGAGACCTTAGAGGAGATGATTGGTGCACCTTACCATTTATTTGGAGTAACCTAGCAGTAAATGGCACCGTGGATTTTTTTCTAACTATGACTGGCCATGGCTATTGATTCAGTATCTCCCAATTACAAAAACAACTCATTCGAAATTATTGTCTCCATGTTTTTAAATTATTGCTCAGCAACATTGTTCAATAGCTTCTCTTAATGTTCTTTAGAAGATATTAATAAATAAAAATACTGGTTGGTCCAGGAGCAATTGTTGGCATGGATGTGGGTGATATCATGTGGTATTCTGTCTGCTTTCCTTTTGCTGCCACTGCTGATACCCTCCTTCTCTTATTTCCCCCCCTCCTTTTTTTTCTTTTCTTTTTTCTTTTTTTTTACCTTTTTTTTTTGTTGTTGTTGTTGTTGAGGGGTCAAGGAATGTTAATAACCAATATAAATGACCAATGAATGAATTTTGCTTATTTAGTGGAACAGCTTATGGTTGGCTATTTCACTTGCACACCATCTAGTTTGTCTGTCGAATAAAAAAACGAAAGCACACGCCGGATGTGAGAAAGATACAACTTGAGCTGCTTCTGGTTTCCAGCCTTCACCTCCCAGTCAATTCTGTTGGGCTCCTAAGTTCTTCTTCCGAACACGGAGGGGGAAAAAAGATATATTACACGGATCTGATCCAATCTACAAAAATGCTTAAGAGGACACTTTCCCATATCAGATGTCGAGATGGGCCACTTTTACAGAAACGGTTTTGCCCCTTCGCCCCTCCCCTCCCCCCCTCATCCCCATGTCACCTAATAGCTGCAACACGAAAGACTTGATACTGCAGCGCTGAAAACAAAAGGGTATTTACGGACAACCATCCATTTTTAATGCATGTGTAAGATGAAATTCATGTTTTTCCATGGGAAATGATGGTATTTGAAGATGCAGCCTAAAGTACTTTTGATTGTGCTTGGTGTAACGTAGCCGTGGAATTTGTAACTGACACCCGAGGAGTTTGATTCCTGGGATGAATGATAGTACCGGCTGTACTCTGGACTTTGTTTTGCTAATCATTACTGAACAGCTGTATGTTACTGCTAGATTAATGTTTCAAAGCACTGGGATAGTCTTATTCTAACTTGTAATTATGTTTGCCAGTTACCTGTTTGGAAAGTTTGTGTATGAACAGCTTATCGGACAACTGTTGAAATGTACAGATATTGTTCATGATATAAGGCTTTGTACTGTGGAATGTGCTTAATAAAAAAAACCCTCTAAATTTACATCTTTCTATACATGTAACCTATGCTATTCAACATATTTGTAAAGGACTTAGATAAGAGGTTTCCAAACACAGCTATCAAATTTACAAATGACGTATAGTTTGGGGAACAGCAAATACTCATACAGAAAAAAACTGGACGTCTTGGTAATCCCCAAATTGAACACAAGCCAACAGTGTAAATGAAGCAAAAACAACAAAAAAATCCTAAGCAATCCTAGACTGCATCAAAAAAAAAATTTTTTTCCCCTTCATTGGTTAGACCATATCTAGAATATAGGGTTTCAGTTCTGGGCACTGAGATTTAGGGAGGAGATTGACAAACTGAAGCATGTCCAAGGAAAAACAATAATAAAGAGCTTACAAGGAAAAAACTTGAGAAGGGATTGGGTGCATTAAGGATGTTTAACCTGGAGAAAACTGTAGGGAGGTGTGGCAGCTATCTTCCAAGTACAGTGGTACCTTGGTGCTCAACTGCTTTGAAACATTGAATTTGGTACTTGACGCATTCCGATGCTGGATTTTTGTCCTGGTCCTCATCGTTTGGTACTCATTGGGCCTCCCAGAACCAATTAACAATGAATACTGAGATAGTATCTGATTGTATCTGAAGGGCTGCTATGTAGAATTCTGGGCAGAATTGTTTCAGAATCAATTAAAAATTATTTTAAATTAATTTTGGTAGGACAACAAAAAATTTTAACAGCTGTTCAACAAAGGCTGGATCACTATTTGTCATTGGATAGAATAGAATAGAATAGAATAGAATAGAATAGAATAGAATAGAATAACAGAGTTGGAAAGGACCTTGGAGGTCTTCTAGTCCAGGGGTCCCCAAACTTTTGGACCTCAGGGACCACTAAATTCATAATTTTAAATCCTGTGGACCACTAATATGATCTGCCTAATGACTGGCTGGGTGGGTGTGGCTAGGTGGTCATGTGACGATGGGTGTGGCCAACTCGATGTCATTTTGAGGGGCACCTCGCCGGCCTCTACTCACCCCTCCCCTCCCAGCCACTCCTCACCTGCCCGCCTGGGCTCCTTAGGGCCCCAATAGGAAGCAGTTGTTGGAGCTAAGCAGCCACCATGAGAAAGAGTTGGCAAAACAGCTGGCTTAGTTCAAATTGGATCTGAATGAGAAGGAAGCTCAGCCGAAGCACCTCACTGAGGACTACAAGCATAGGCTTTCCAAGCAGAGGGAAGCCCTGCGGGGGTGCAAGGCCAGGTGCTAGCACCTGGAGGCTCAGCTGGCTGAGATAGCCAGCCAGTTCCAGGCCATGATGCAGTCCCACTGGAACAAGACCCTCTGGCTCTTCGCCATCAGTGGCACTTCCCTCCAGCCTTCGCCCAAAGCCCCATGCCAGGAGGCTGAAGCAAACCCCAAGTCGGAATTTCTTCCCCACTCTGACCCATACAAAAAACTCCCGAAGGGGGAGACTGCAACAACACAAATGTTCATTGCATATGTCCAGTCCAGGGGCTATAGTTTGAGGACCCCTGATTTACTGCAATATTAAAAAATGCAAATAATTTTTCTGCGAACCACCAAAATTTTCTCATGAACCACCAGTGGTCCACGGACCACCATTTGGTGACTGCTGTTCTAGTCCAACTCCCTGCTTAGGCAGGAAACCCTACAGCACTTCAGACAAATGGTTATCTAATCTCCTCTTAAAAACTTCCAGTGTTGGAGCATTTACAACTTCTGGAGGCAAGTTGTTCCACTGAATAATTGTTCTGTCAGGAAAAATAGCACTAATTGTTCTAACTATCAGGACAGCAGCACTGGAGAGTGGGATGAACTGAGTGATACTGTATCTGGTCCCTTCTGATCTTTACATTCTATAGTTAATATGATTCTGCTAAATGTGCTTGTTATCAAATTTTGATAATGAAATTGATAAGAATTGAGAGGTGTGGCATATTTAATGCAACATATCAGCCACAGGGCTATTCCCAGCTCTTAGCTTCCTGAGAGCTGCAGAAGCATATAGAAGCCTCTCCTGAGGGGCTGTGGGACTTGTATGCAGAATTGGTTTGTGGGTGGATGCATTAAGAAAGGGGAATTGGAGAAAACCAGGCAGCCGCGTAAGCTCTGTTGAAACAAGAAATCAAGACCAGGTTGTGCTGAAACAAAAATAAAGACCTGAATTCAGACTGAATTCAGATCAGCATCATACGGCAACCAGCTATTATGTGAAAAGCATGTAATTTAAATATTACATCATGTTCCAGCTAGACCATGGTGGAGAGCTAGTGGCTCTCTGCATACTGCTGAACCACAATGTTTGGTCTCACTGTTTGATCATACTGGATACAAGTTACGTATGAGTTGATCTGAGGGGTCCCAGATTCTATATCCTTCCAACATCTGGGAGCACTTTTACTAAGCAACTAGAGGGTTGTTGTAGGATTGGATTGAAATCTCCACTCATTCCATCTTTTAACCTATTGGATGATCATGGATTTTAGCATCTGGGCATAAAGGAGAACAATACATCAATTTTCTCCAGAGCATACATTATAAATATCTTCTCCTAACTCTTGAACACCACTTTTCAGAGTGACCCCTGGTCCTTTTAAAAAACCCTTGTCTGCATTTCCTTCAGTAAATGATGCCATGAACAGAATTGTACAGAGTATGCCAACTGATCACCCCTTACCCTTGTGCAAAATAATTAACAGTATTGGCAATTTCATTTTTAAAATACTGATGGCAAATAAAGACAGTGCCATTTTCACAGCAATTCTATGACACTCCAAGTATCCTTCCATGATTATTGGCTGGGAGGAGGGTCGGGGGAGATAAATGGAGCAAAATAAAGGTCTATATACAACAGTTTGTATGGATAACGATCCAGGGGTTTTTTTCTTTAAAAAAAAAACCAGCTTTCTTTTAGTTTTCATTACTCCCAGCACCCCCATTCTCTTTCTCCTTCGATGACAAATCAGCAGCCCTGAAAATAACTTTCCATTTCAATTCGCTTATGCCAGGACTCCTGCTGCTTGGCTGTTTCTTGGGGTGTTTCCCCTCCATCTGCATAAACAGAAATGGGCTAGCTTTGCACCTCAGGAATGAGAAGATAAAAAAAAGGAGATTATTTATTTTTCCACCAAAGTTAGAAATATGTTAGAGAGGTTGCAAAAGTGTTTTGTTTCAGGAAATTTCATCATGTCTCCAGGAAAAAAAAAACCCACCATAATTGGCCTCAGATTTACTAATAACCTTTTCTTTTTTTTCATTCTTGTAATTTGAGGAGTTGTAGGTCATTGCGAGGTGACTGTAGTTAAGGATAGTTTAGTTCCTCTGTGAATACCTAGTTTCTGCAGCAGTTGCCCCCTCCTCAGATCTTTAAAAAAAAAAAAGGCATCGGCCTGGTGCTCTAATAGCCAGTATTTTTGGCATAAAGCTTGCATACCTTTAGCATATGGAAATATTTTTAAGAACACATACCAGGCTTTGAGTCTTTAAAAGTGAAATGTTCCAACAAATTAACAAATGTGTATATAGCATTCTTTTTTAAAATATTCAGACTCCCCCCCACACACACAACAGCATAAAATAATTAAATAAAATATTACTGATGTGAAACCGTATTGCAAAAACGAATGAATGCAGGAACATCGAGTTCAAAGCTAAATTTGGGTTCTGTTGGATCGAGATTGAGGGTTCATTCAGCCTAAGCTTCTGTTTCTAATCGTAGTCAAAGAAGCTGGGTATCATGTTAGTTTTCTTCTGCGATTCCAATATACTCTTCTTTCTAACTAGCAGAAATACAGTATATATATATATATTTGCTTTCTTCTCTTATCGTAGGTTTTGTATGTATGTATTCACATACAAAAACCTACGATAAGAGAAGAAAGCAAATACTTAGCCTCTACCAGGAGGGAACATATGGTAAGGGTGTGGCTAACTGATGAGGACCAATCAGTCCGAAATAGATCTATATTAGTCTCCCAATAGGCAGCAAAATGCATGCTTGCTGTCTGAAGAAGCCTAGGATAGTGGATGTGATTTCACTGAACTATGGCTGCAATTTGAGAAACTTGGTTTACGTAGGAAAATACCCGGTTGAAGAAAAATACACACACACACACACACACACACACACACACACAAGGAATTTGTCTCCGGTGCATAAGCTCTCAGTGTACATACAACAATAGCTATAGATCGTTATCATAATCATCGTAAAAATACATTCATCATAAAATATTAGATACAACACTTAGTGACAGACATGGACACTAAATGTCAGGTTTTCAGGCTGTCTTCAGATAAATTGCATCACAAACAAAGTCTTTTATAAAGCAAACTCCCATTTTATTAAGCACAGCACTTTTTTACAGCGACTCATTGCAGCCGGCACTGACATGCCGACCCAAAACCCCTCCTCTTCCTTCCCCCACTCCTCTAAATTCATTGGCCATCTTCCCAATCATTCACCCCTAATCTACTGCTCCAATTCAAAGAATTTCCCCCCTCCCATCCATCTCCTAGGGGACATTATCTCCAGAGGAAATAAGTAGGTGAAAGGCAATCATCCCGTTGCAGACGCCTGCGTTCTCCTTCTTATGTCAGCACTAGGATAAATGCATCTTGACGTGCTGACACTAAACTTCTGACGGGCTCTTTTTTTGAAGTGCTATTTGCTCCTAAGCTTCTTTCTTTCCCAGTCCATAAAATAAACAAGTAAACAAATCTCCAGTACAAGTGGTCCTTGACTTACGACCACAGCTGAGCCCAAAATTTATGTTGTGACGTGAGAAATTTGTTAAGGGAGTTTTGACCCATTTTACGACTTTTCTTGCTGCATTTGTTAAATGAATCACCGTACTTGCTAAATTAATAACACGATGGGTAAGTGAATCTGGCTTCCCCATTGACTTTGCTTGTCAGAAGGTTGCAAAAGGGGATCACATAATCCTAGGGCACCACAACCGTCATAAATGTGAATCAGTTGTCAAGCATCCGGATTTTGATCATGTGACCAT